CCAGGCACAGTGGCTCATGCCTGTAATCCCAGCACTTTAGGAGGCCGAGGCGGGCGGATCACAAGGTCAGGAGTTCGAGACCAGCCTGGCCAACATGATAAAAATACAAAAATAAAAAATAAAAAATTAGCCAGGTGTGGTGGTGGGCACCTATAATCCCAGCTATTCTTGAGGATAAGGTAGAAGAATCGCTTGAACCCAGGAGCTGGAGGTTGCAGTGAGCTGAGATCCATTGTACTCCAACCTGGGACACAAGAGCAAGATTCTGTCTCAAATTAAAAAAAAAAAAATCCATTCATAGAAGCAATAAAAACTAGACGGTACTTAGGAATAAAACTAATAGATGATAAGCAAAATCTTCATAGAGGTTATAAAACATAACTAAAGTTCATAAAGTAAAACATGAATAAGTACAAAGATATATTTTCATGAACAAAAATTTTTTATCATTAAGATACCAATTCAATACAATTTCTTTCAAAACTCCAAAAACACTTTCCAAGAAACTCAACAATAATACCAAAATTCACATTGAAAAGTAAAGGTCTAAGAATACAACAAGTAAAATAAAACCTGTCTTACCAGATATCAGCAGTTCTGTTAAAGCAATATCAATTAAATAATGTGCTATTATAAGCACAGGAGTAAACACGAATTGATGGAATAGACTAAACAGCTGAGAACAGGCCTATGTAAATAGGAGACTTAATACATAGAAGTGGTATTGCAGGTCAGTGGGGAAAGGATGGACTACACTAAACATTATATTGGGGCAACTGGTTATTTACTGGGTACAAAAAATAATAGATACAAGTTCATATCATACATAAAACGAATTCCAGGTGGATTAAAGACCTAAATATACGCTGGGCATTTGGCTCATGCTTCTAATCCCAGCACTTTGGGAGGCCGAGGCAGGTGGATCACTTGAGGTCAGGAGTTCAAGGCCTGCCTGGCCAACATAGTAAAACCTCATCTCTACTAAAAATACAAAAAACTAGCCTAGCATGATGGAATGTGCTGTTAGTTCCAGCTACTTGGAAGACTGAGGTAAGAGGATCACCTGAGCCCACAAGTCAAGGCTGCAATGAGTTGTAACTACACCACTACACTCCAGCCTGGGCACAGAGTGAAACACTGTCAAAAAAAAAAAAAAAAAAAAAAAAAAAAAAAAAAAAAAAAAAAAAAAAAAAAAAAAAAAAAAAAAAAAAAAAAAAAAAAAAAAAAAAAAAAAAAAAAAAGAATAGAAAACACTACCAGAGTATAATACATGTATTAAAGTTAAATACTATTTCACAAAATTTGTGTTTCAGTTCAATTTATATAGGTCACATATGGTGACTCATGCCTGTAACCCCAGCATTTTGGGAGGCCGAAGCAGGAGGATTACCTGAGCCCAGGAATTCGAAACCAGCCTTGGCAACATAGTGAGACCTAATCTCTACTAAAAATTTAAAAATTAATCAGGGGTAATGGCACATGCCTGTGGTCCCAGTTGAAGCAGAAGGACTGCTTAAGCTCAGGGAGGTAGGTAGAGGCTGCAGTGAGCCATGTTCCCACCACTGCACTCCAACCTGAGCAAAGGAGTGAGATCTTGTCTCAAAAAATAAAAATAGGCCAGGCGCAATGGCTGAGGCCTATGTCCCAGCACTTTGGGAGGCCAAGCTGGGTAGATCACCTGAAGTCAGGAGTTCAAGACCAGCCTGGCCAAAAAACCCCAGCTTTACTTAAACTACAAAAAAAAAAAATTAGCCAGGCATGGTGTCTCACAACTGTAATCCCAACTACTCAAGAGGCTGAGGCATAAAAATCACTTGAACCTGGGAGGCAGAGGTTGCAGAGAGCCAAGATCACACCCCAGCAAGCCAGCCTGGGTGACAAAGTGAGCCACCATCTCAAAAAACTAAAACTAAAAATAGATGTTTATATGTATATGGGTGAGTACCACACTGGATTTTTTTTTTTTTTTTTTTTTGTGACAGAGTCTTGCTCTGTCGCCCAGGCTGGAGTGCAGTGGTGTGATCTTGGCTCACTGCAACCTCTGCCTCTCAGGTTCAAGTGATTCTCCTGCCTCAGCCTCCTGAGTATCTGGGATTTCAGGCATAAGCCACCACACCCAGCAACATTGGATTTAAAATACATTTCTTACTGGAGGTTGCAGTCAAAAACGTTTAAAAGCCACTGCCCAAGTAAGAGTGTTTTGTATGTGCACAAAGAGACATTCACAGCAGCGCTGTGTCTCAGGTAAAAAACTGGAATCTAAGAATACATTTAAAATAAAAGATACAATAATAAATAAAAAATAAACAAACAGGCCGGGCGTGGTGGCTCACATCTATACTTCCGTATAAAACTCTATACAGAAGTTAAGATCTAGTCCCAGCTACATGGAGGGCTGAGGTAGGAGGATCACATGAGCCCAGGAGTTGGAGGCCGCAGTGAACTATGATTGTGCCACTACCCTCTAGCCTGAGCAACAGAGTAAGATGCTATCTTAAAGGGGGTGGGGGGGGGGAGGGTGGTTGGGAGAATATTGTATGTAACAATATGGGTAAATCACAGAAACATACTGAACATAAAAAACAAAGACACAGAAAAGAAACAAGTTATATGATACTACTTATATAATTGGTTTTAACTTTTTTCTTTTTCTTTCCCTCTCCCAACATTCTCAAAGATACTACTTATAAAAAAGGAATTGGAACGATACAGAGGAGATTAGCATGGCCCCTGTGCAAGGATGACATGCAAATTTGTGAAGCGTTCCATATTTTTTTTATTAAAAAAAAAAAGGTTTAAAACACCCAAAGTAATTGTATTACTAATGGATACACATATGCATAAAGTATTAAACACATGAACATAAAATACTGAAACCAAAAAAGGAACCAATTATAGATAATACAAATAGCCCAAAAGCAGGCTGGGCACAGTGGCTCATGCCTGTAATACCAGCACTTTGGTAGGCCAAGGCAGGCAGATCACTTGAGGTCACAAGTTCCAGACCAGCCTGGCCAACATGGTGAAACCCCATCTCTACTAAAAATACAAAAAATTGGCCAGGTGTGGTGGCAGGTGCCTGTAATCCCAGCTATTAGGGAGGCTAAGGCAGGAGAATGGCTTGAACCTGGGAGGCAGAGGCTGCTGTGAGCCGAGATCACACCGCTGCATTCCAGCCAGGACAAAAAAGACTTTTGTCTCACAAAAACAAAAAAAATAGCCCAAAACAACTGTGTTGAAAGTGTACCTAATTGTTCCTGTTTTTTCAAGACAGAGTCTAGCTCAGTCAACCAGGCTGGAGTGCAGTGGCATGATCTCAGCTCACTGCAGCCTCTACCTCCCAGGTTCAAGTGATTCTCCTGCCTCAGCCTCTTGAGTAGCTGGGACTATAGGCACATGCCACCATGCCTGGCTAATTTTTATATTTTTAGTAGAGATGGGGTTTCACTATGTTGATTAGGCTGGTCTTGAAGTCCTGACCTCGTTATCCACCTGCCCTGGCCTCCCATAGTGCTGGGATTACAGGCACGAGCCACTGAGCCCAGCCAACAAGTATACCTAATTATTTTTCTTTTTTTTTTGAGAGGAAGTCTCACTCTTGTCCCCCAGGCTGGAGTGTAATGGTGCAATCTCAGCTCACTGCATCCTTCACCTCCTAGGTTCAAGCAATTCTCCTGTCTCAGTCTCCCAAGTAGAGCTGGGATTACAGGTGCGTGCCACCTCACTTGGCTAATTAGACAGGGTTTCCCAGGTTGGCCACACTGGTCTCGAACTCCTGACCTGAGGTGATCCACCCGCCTCAGCCTCCCAAAGTGCTGGAGTGGTGGGATTACAGGTGTGAGCCACCGTGCCTGGCCAAGTGTACCTAATTCTAATAGCAAAGACAGTTTTCTGTACCAACTGCTTCTCTGCCTCTCTTCTCCTGTCTTTAGATTCCTATACCCGAAGAGCTGGTCAAATTGTCTATTTTGAAATAATCTCACAAAGTGTTAAACTCTTCCTTCTTTAACTCAAAAAGGAATTAGCCAGATGTGGTGGCACACGTCTGCAATACAAGCTACCCAGAAGGCTGAGGCACGAGAATCACTTGAAGCCAGGAGGCAGAGGATGCAGTGAGCAGACATCACGCCACTGCACTTCTGCCTGGATAACAGAGAAAGACTGTCTAAAAAAAAAAAAAAAAACAACTATTAACAGGCACAAGTTCTGAAAACCCCAACCCTCACCTTGAGCACTAACAAATAACCAAATTCCAGGATGCCCTCAATCACAATGATCACTTCATAGTCTTTAAGGTCTTTCCCTACATAGTCTATGATTTGATTCTCAGAATAACCCTAATGAGGTCAATATTACCAATACCCACATTTACAGATAAGCCAATGCACAAAGCAGCTAATTATCAGCCAGAGGTCACAAGTCAATGACACAGTTGGGACCGTAACCCTTCAGCTTCTGAACCTAATCACCCTGACAGTGTGCCCTTATGTGATCACTACATTTCAACATACAACATCACGCCCAGAAAACAGGATGAGGTGTTCACAACACGTGAGCTGCTTCACTATTTCATCCCTGATCTTTCTCTCTTTTTTTCAGACAGGCAGCCAAGAGCAAGAGAGCTGCCACTATTAACTCTTCCCTACCTCTTCCCTTCCCTGTAGCCATTCATGCTTCTTTTTCCCAGAACTCCTTCAAATGAACAGGCAAAAAGGGGAAACAAGTATGAACAAAGGACAGTCACCATGACACCGGGAATCCCTGCACCACAGAGAAAAGACTGGGGTTTCCTCCCATCTTACAAGAGTCAGGGAGTAGGAAAACACCACCAAAAAAGCCTAAGCTATCACTCTATCAGTGCTGGCAAAAGTCCTTTACTGAATGGCTTTAATTAACAGAAAAATGTAAAAGTACCAGTTTTTTAAACGGTCCCGGGCTTCCAACTGCGCTCCCACTTCAAAGCTGATTCCTCGTCTGTTAGGTGGATGCTTTGTCATTTTCAGTCATCAACGGGGCTGCCTTTATTCTCCTGAAAAAGCCAATTAAATATTTATGAAACTTAGGCAAAGTCTGCCCAGAGTGTAGCATCATTCACTACACATAAAAAACAAACAGGCATTATTCAAAACACAAAGCTCCATGAAACCCTGTTGGTGCCCTCATTCTAACTCAGGTGTGCTTTCCACTGGTTCCTACTCCTCCATTGTGTAGCATCCTGTGGTTTCTGGAACTGAGAAGACCCTCCCTCAACACTGCTTACTGAAGACTCACCAACAAGGGCCACCCCTCAGAACTACAAAAAGACAACTACTTTCACAGTTAAATTCAGTCACCTGCTGATGCATTATTCAACAAATATTTGCTCAGTGACTATTTAAGGAAACAGTCAAGACCAAAAGAGACACAGTTCCTGCCCTCAAGAACCCTTCAGTCTACCGGGGAAACACAAAAATTTAGCCAGTAAACTGATAAATAAAATAACTGCAAACTGTAATTGCAATGAAATTTAAGAGTTACAAAGGAAGCAAACAAATGTCAGGCACGGTGGTGTATGCCTATAGTCCCAGCTACTTGGAAGGCTGAGCCAGGAGGATTCCTTGAGCTCAGGAGTTTGAGACCAGCCTGGGAAACATAGCGAGCCCTTGTCTCTTTTTTATTTTTTATTTTTAGTTTTCAAGGCTACTGAAAATCAAGAGCCCTCGTCTCTTTAAAAAATTAAAAACGAAGTAAACAAAAGCTGAGATACTAATACTTGGTCCTACTTTTGGAAGGCTGGACAAGGTCTGTTTATACTTTGTTTTTTGAGACAATTTCACTCTGTCACCCAGGCTGAAGTGCAATGACACGATCTCAGCTCACTGCATCCTCCGCCTTCTGGGTTCAAGCAATTCTGAAGCCTCCTGAGTAGATGGGACTACAGGCACCCACCACCACACCCAGCTAATTTTTTTTTCTTTTTAATTTTTCCAATTAAACATCTCAGGAATTTTTTTATTTTTAATAGAGTCAGGGTTTCACCATGTGGACCAGACTGGTCTGAAACTCCTAACCTCAAGTGATCCATCCACTTCAGCCTCCCAAAGTGCTGGTATTACAGGGGTGAGCCACTGCGCCTGGCCTTGTTTATACTTTCTTTGATCTACGTATATTTCCTATTTCTTTTTTTGTTTGTTTGTTTTTTGAGAAGAAGTCTTGCTCTTGTCACCCAGGCTGTAGTGCAATGGTGCAATCTCAGCTCACTGCAACCTCCGCCTCTCAGGTTCAAGCAATTCTCTTGCCTCAGCCTCCGGAGCAGCTGGGATTATAGGTGCGTGCCACCACATCCAGCTATAATTCCTAATTTTTTTTTTAAGACAGTTTCATTTTTGTTGCCCAGGCTGTAGTATGATGGCACAATCTCAGCTCACTGCAACCTCCGCCTCCTGGGTTCAAGCGTTTCTCCTGCCTCAGCCTCCCACGTAGCTGGGATTACAGGCATGCGCCACCATGTCCAGCTAATTTTGTATTTTTAGTAGAGACAGGATTTCTCCATGTTGGTCAGGCTGGTCTTGAACTCCTGACCTCAAATGATCTGCCCCCCTCAGCCTCCCAAAGATTACAGGCTTTGTAAGTGTTGGGATTACAGGCATGAGCCACATACCGAAGCCTATTTCCTACTTCTTGAGTCCATTCTGACCATTTGTATTTTTCTACACATTTTATCCAGATTTTCTATTTTTTTTATCATAGAACAATAAAAGAATACAAAACATTCTCATTTAACTCCTTTCATTGCCTTTGAATCTTAAGTCACAATTTGAATCTCTCCTTTCTCAGTCCTATCTTGCTTTCTTGTGCTGTAATGAATAAAATTTATCTTTATGATCAAAACCAAACTATAAAGCTAATTCCTTTTGAGGGAAAAAAAAAAAAAGGTGTATTGGATTAGGCCATTTACAAGAAAAGTGGCTCCCATAAAAGAACACGTCCAGCCAGATGCAGTGGCTCAGGCCTGTAATCTCAACACTTTGGGAGGCCCAAGTGGGCGGATCACAAGGTCAGGAGTTCGAGACCAACCTGGCCAACACAGTGAAACCCCATCTCTACTAAAAATACAAAAATTAGCCAGGCACAGTGGCGGATGCCTGTAATCCCAGCTACTCAGGAGGCTGAGGAAGAAGAATTGCTTGAACCCGAGAGGTGGAGGTTGCAGTGAACTGAGATCAGACCACTGCACTCCAGCCTGGGTAACAGAGCAAGACTGTCTTGAGGGGGAAAAAAGAACACTTCTTGGCATCACTGAGGTAATTCATCTAAAGTGTCCTAAATGCAATCAGAGGAGCTAGTGCTGATTCTGATAGACATGTAGCCTCTCTGGGCTCTAAGGGCACTTGAGGTTACCTCCCTACAGCAGACTAACCCCAGCCTAACTCCTTCCTCCCACTAAACTTTGGACTTTTTAAAATTTGTTTTTAGACAGGGTCTCATTCTGTTGCCCAGGCTGGAGTACAGTGGCACTATCATACATAGCTCACTGCAGCCTCAAACTCCTGGGCTCTAGTGATCCTCCTGCCTCATTCTCGCGAGTAGCTGGAACCACAGGTGTGCATCAGCACATCCAGTTGTTTTTTGTTTTCAGAGACAGGATCTATGTTGACTAGGCTTGTCTCAAACTCGTGGGCTCAAGCAGTCCTCCCACCTGGGCCTACCAAAGTGCTGGGATTATGGGATTATAGGCATGAGCCACTGCACCTGGCCCTAAACTTTGGATCTTCACAGCCCACACTGCCCAAGCA